TTTTCTGGAGCCAAAGCCCAAGTAGATGGTTTTTGCTGAGGGTGGACCTGAGCTCCTGCCATGGGTGGTGAGAGGGTGGGGGGTTTGGCATGAACAGCCCCAAGCAGCTCCTGGATTCCTTCTGAAAGAAGAACAGCTTTGAGTTTCTTCTGCAATGAACTGAAACATGCTTGCAAATGTAAAAGGGATATGATTGTTACCAAGTTTTTGAAAGAAAAACGTATATTTGATGATGTGACTTAAGTCGAAAGTGACTTTGGGATGTGGTGGGATCATTCCGGTACAATTCTGAGGTGACTTTTGCCAACGTTTCTCCTGCCTCTGTCTGTTCTGTTGCCTCTCCCCATTTTATGTCCCCAGTTGTGGTGTTTAAAACTCATTCTAGAGCATCAGTTTCGCTTTGGATTCTAATGCCAACTTGGACGGGGCTTGGAGCAACCTGGGCTGGTGGGAGGTGTCCCTGCCCAGGGCAGGGGGTGGCACTGGGTGGGCTTTAAGGTCCCTTCCAACCCAAACCATTCTGTGGTTCTATAGTGTGTGATGGAGTTGGCTGATGAAGGGAGATAAAATTTTCAAAGATGGTGAGGGATCGCTGTAAGGACCATCACTCAGTGCTGAGTCCTCTGGGAGTCAGGTGAACCAATGGTGTCTCTTTAAATAGAATCATAGAATTGTCTGGGTTGGAAGGGACCTTTAAGATCATCAAGTCCAACCATCAACCTAACTCTGATAAAACCCATCACTAACCCATGTCACTCAGCACTATGTCAACCTGTCTTTTAGATCCCTCCAGGGATGGTGCCTCAACCATTTCCCTGGGCAGCCCATTCCAAGGCTTAATAACCCCTGTAGTGTAAAAATCTTTCCTAATCTCCAATCTGAACCTCCCCTGGGGCAACCTGAGGCCGTTTCCTCTTGTCCCATCAGCTGAGACCAACCTCCCCCTGGCTACACCCTCCTTTCAGGGAGTTGGAGAGAGTGAGAAGGTCTCCCTTCAGCCTCCTCTTCTCCAGGCTGAACACCCCCAGCTCCCTCAGCCTCTCCTCATAAGATTTACTCTCCAAATATATTGGTCAAAATCCAAGAAGCGATTTAACAGAGAAGTATTGCTTTTACTTTCCTTTGGCTGGAACCCTCTAATTTTCTGAACACCCTCAAGTTGTAGCTTTGGGACTTCTGATGGTCTCCCATCTTGCCATGGAGTCTATAATCACAATTTTCAGAATGGTTCAGCCTTCCTTTGCTTGCAGACGTGCTGCCAAAACCCTCACTAGATCCAAGAGGGCTCCTGCTAACTACAGTCACTGCAGAAATGAGGGAGCAATTTAGAAATAAATACTAACTTGCAGATATATTTTCTTCAAAGCTTCGAATTAGGAAGGAGAGGCTGAGGTCTAATCCCAACAGAAAATATCACTGATTTAATTCCTTTCTTTCTCTTTGCATAGCTCTTGATTTTTATTACGAGCGCTATCGTCTGCTCCCAAAACCTCAACAACAGGGGCTTTTAGGATTAAGACTTTGGCTGAACAACCACACTGGATTTTATTAGTTATGTATTTTTTTAAGATGTGTTTGTGGATGAACAATTTGCAGTTTAGATCACAGAATGCTATGGGGTTGGAAGGGACCTCTGGAGACCACCCAGTCCAACCTCCTGTCACAGCAGGGTCACTCAGAGCAGGTCCCACAGGAACGTGTCCAGGTGGGTTTGAATGTCTCCAGAGAAGGAGACTCCACCACCTCCCTGGGCAGCCTCTTCCAGGGCTCTGCCACCCTCAAAGTGAAGAAGTTCCTCCTCATGTTTAGATGGAACTTCCTGTGTTCCAGTTTGTGCCCATTTCCTCTTCTCCTGTCACTGGGCACCACTGAAAAAAGCCTGGCCCCATCCTCCTGACACCCACCCTTTAAGTATTTAGAGGTGTTGATCAGATCCCCTCTCAGCCTTCTCTTCTCCAGACTAAAAAGCCCCAAGTCTCTCAGCCTTTCCTCATCAGAGAGATGCTCCAGGCCCCTCATCATCTTTGTAGCCTCTGCTGTCCCCTCTCCAGCAGTTTCTTGTCCTTCTGGAACTGGGGAGCTCAGAACTGGTCCCAGTGCTCCAAGTGTGGGACCAGTGGGTCCAAATGATGGACCTCCCTCCATCTGCTGGTCACACTCTTCCTGGTGCCCCTGAGGATGCCGTTGGCCTTCTTGGCCACAAGGATGTCAACACAATGGTGTTGACAAAATGTAGGCTGAGGTGCAGATAGGACCTAGTAAGGATATTTGGGGGAATTTAGCTCATTGTTGAGTTTGCTGCTGGAGTCGGTGCTTTGGGTGTCAAAGGAGGTGACGTGATGGTCCTCATGGGGTACTTAAATAAGGGCAAAGCCCTTTAAATGTGCCCGATTGTGGAAGTGATAACCAAAAATATCACGTTGCAGCAGCCGCGAAGTGGCCCTGGAGGCAGGAAGAGGATCTTGCGAAGAATGACTTGCATAAAGACAAGGAATTTGTTAGTACATTTGTAACATTATACCAAAAAAACCACACACGGAGAGGAAAAAACCCACCCCCAACACCAGTTGTAGTTCTGCCAGCTCCTTATGTGATCGGTGCTGGGGAAAAGTTCCTGGGGATGATCATAACAAATGTCCCCTGAAGCTGCCCCCTGCCCTTAAGTCTTATTTCCTTTCTTTCTTTGCTCCCTAATAATTGCTTTCTACTAAGGCTGTAAATATTTCTGGTTCTTTAAGGGGGGAGAATGCCTACAGACGTGTTTCCTCTTCCCAAATATTTGAAGTATCTCAGGTATTAGGAAGCAGAATGTCACTTTTCTCATTTTGCATGTGATGAATTCAAGATGCAGAGAAATTACAGCACAGGTCCCCAGAGATTTTTGAGAGAGCAGATTCTCCCTGGAATAAGTGAGACTTCGGTGCTGAAATATTTATTATGGCTCTGGCCTTAAGTGACTTGCCCAGCTGTCAGAGAGAGACGAGAATTGAACCCAGATCTCCTTGATCTGTGTTCCTGGACAAGGAAAACATGCATTTGAATAAGATGTGAAAATCCAGACAGGTTTAGATTGTCAAAATTAAAGAGGAGAAGGCTGGAATGGTAAAGCTGTGATATTAGATACTTAAAAATTCATCTCGTGTCTGATTTTCCCTTATATTTCATTTACAGTTGTTATGTGCTGGCTTTATGTCCTGCTTTCACATCAAACACAGAGTGGAGGTGTTGGATACGTGCAATTAAGAAACAACATTAATGATAAAACCTTTCTTTTTCTGATTTCTCTCTGCTACAGACAAAAGAAGTTAGAACAAATGATGGAAGAAGAAGGCTTAAAAGATGAAGAGGTAATGAATATGGGAAAATTACCTTAATGGTTAAATAAAAGTGATTTTCCATTATAAATGGAGATCTGGGATCTTTAATTGGAATTGCTGGGGTCCCTCCAGCAGAATTCTCACTTATTTTCCCTAAACTCTAGAAAAGAATCAGGAGATCAGCTCATGCCCAGAAGGAAACGGAGTTTCTTCGCCTAAAGAGAACGAGGCTTGGTTTGGAAGACTTTGAGTCTTTAAAAGTCATCGGCAGAGGAGCATTCGGAGAGGTAGGTCCAGAAGAGATGCCTTAAAAGCATTTTCAGATGGCACAGGTATTTGTCACAGACTTGTGTGGTTTACACAGTGAGGGATAAATGTTGTAACAACCACAGATTGATTTTTAGCTTAACAGTCACGTGCATCTGCCTTTATGCCTAATAAATGCTGGTTTAAAAACAGTATGTGCTAAAAGGAACATTAGTGCTGTTGAAAAGGACTCGATGGGCAAATTAAATCCAAGTTTGACTGGGTGCTTTCATTGTGCCCTCCCAGGGGTGGCCATAGAGACAGGGAGAGCCAGGGCCACTTCTAGTGACCTCCTTCAGAGAAGGTGGCTTTGGACCATCTGCTTCAGGTGTTTGATGGCTCGGTGTGTCATGTCTGATAAAGTGATTTCATCTCTAGAATGAACAGAACTTGACTGGCCATTACTGTGGACTGTGTCCTGCTTTTTGGTTTTATAATCTGGTCTGATTTCATTAAATGGAAGCCAAGGGCTTGACACCCAGATTTGTCAAGAGCTGCAGTGATAACGCTGTGTATTTGACTCCCAATTTTTGCATCCTTCCCAGGTGCGACTCGTGCAGAAGAAAGACACGGGCCATGTTTATGCCATGAAAATACTCCGTAAAGCTGATATGCTTGAGAAGGAGCAGGTGAGTAGTGACCATGATGACACCAAGTTGGGTGGGAGTGTCAACCTTCTTGGGGATAGAAAGGCTTTGCAGAGGGATCTGGACAGGCTGGATGGGCCGAGGTCAATGGGATGAGGTTCAACAAGGCCAACTGCTGGGTCCTGCCCTTGGGTCACACCAACCCCATGGATGCTCCAGGCTGGGGGCAGAGTGACTGGAGCTGCCTGGTGGAAAAGGACCTGGGGGTGTTGGTCAACTGTTGGCTGAACAGGAGGCAGCAGTGTGCCCAGGTGGCCAAGAAGGCCAACAGCATCCTGGCCTGGATCAGGAATAGCGTGGGGAGTAGGACTCGGAAGGTGATGGGCACTGGTGAGGCCCCACCTTGAGTGCTGTGTCCAGTTTTGGGCCCTTCACCACAAAAAAGACATTGAGGGCCTGGAGTGGGTCCAGAGAAGGGCAATGGAGCTGGTGAGGGGTCTGGAGCACAAGGAGAAGGGGCTGGAGAACTTGTGAGGAGCAGCTGAGGGAGCTGGGGGTGTTCAGCCTGGAGAAAAGGAGGCTGAGGGGAGACCTTCTCGCTCTCTCCAACTCCCTGAAAGGAGGGTGTAGCCGGGGGGGGGTCGGTCTCTTCTCCCAAGGAACAGGCAATGGGACAAGAGGAAACGGCCTCAAGTTGCACCAGGGGAGGTTCAGATTGGAGATTAGGAAAGAGTTTTCCATGGAAAGGGTTATGAAGCCTTGGAATGGGCTGCTCAGGGAAGGGGTTGAGGCACCATCCCTGAGGGGATTTAAAAGCTGGGATGACATAAAGCTTAGTGAAATGGTTTAGTGATGGTTTTTATCAGGGTTAGGTTGATGGTTGGACTCCATGATCTTAAAGGTCCCTCCCAACCCAGACAGTTCTATGACTCTCTGAGCAGCGATGCTACTGCCTGTGTTCCAGGTGGCTTTGGGAGGTGACTGTGACACGTGGAGGGGAGCAATAGGCAGCTGGGGACAAGGTTTGCCAGCTAAAAATATTATGTGGGTGTTTTTCCTCATTTTTTATGGAGGAAATAGGCGAGAAAAATCTCCCATGAATTCATAAGGATCTGTCTTTAGTGGGCTCTTTCAAGTTTGATTTTTTTTTTAACATTTCTTGTGACAGTGCAGGAGTTTAAGAAATATATATGTGTTTACAGTAGTAGTGACAGGGCATTGTATGGAACTGAATGCTCAGGACAGGGTTTCAAACAAGCTCTGATGCCTCGTTTATTCTTCATGGGAGCTGCAGCTGTAACAATTGCCTCTGAATCAAGGCAGGAGTGAACTCAGGTTCTGCTGGGAAGCCTGGGGAAACAGCATTTTTCACTGAATTTCACTGAGTTTTTTAGAGTTGGAAGGGACCATAGAGATCATCTAGTCCAACTCCCCTGCTGAAGCAGGATTGCCTAGAGCTAGAGCATGTTACTCAGGAGCATCCAGGCGGGTCTTGAAAATCTCCAAGGAAGGGGACTCCACACCCTCCCTGGGCAGCCTGTTCCAGGGCTCTGGCACCCTCACTGTGAAGAAGTTTCTCCTCATATTTGAGTGGAAAAGGTTTTTCTAAGGACTCAGTTTATATTTCTCCAACGCAAGAGAAAGAAAAATCTCTGTGTGTGATTTATGTTCCTCCTCCTGGTTTTACGATGACGTGTGCTACACGTGTAAGTGATTCAGGGGAGACGTCAACGTTGGTGTTTTACTGCATTTCTGATTTATGGAAACAGATAGAAATATCAAAGTGATCCAACTGCTGGAATTCCACCTCGGAGACATAAAGCAACAGCGTTTAACATTTTTAAGGCTTTCCTCTGCTAGTACTTCTGGGAATATAATGGTCCCAGACAATCATTTCTTGTTGAGGACTGGGATGAATTGAGGAAGCGCCGTGTGTTTGTGTTCATAACATCGGGAACTGGTTTCCATTTCTGAAAGTACTTGTTTAAAAACCACGAGCTGCTAAATCAGTGCTTTGGGCTAAATCAGTGGGAACAGGCTGAAGCCGTATCTGAAGGACGTGCAAACTCTTTAGATAAGAGGTAGGTTTTGACAGACCCAGTTGTTAGATAATTTTGTAAAAAAAAAAATCAAGATATTTTTGATTACAGGATTAACTTGGGTTTATAATCAACCATACGTTTGCCCTCCTCGATCTGCCCACGGTGATGAATTGTGCTCTGGAGTGCTGTGTTATCTAAGTGGTTTTAAGATAAGCGTGTTCAGAGTGTCCCGTATCACTCGTACGGTTCTGATTTGAAGGGGATCCAAGTGCCCTGAGAACTGCAAGAATAACAACAGAAACGTGGATTATCTTTCCCCGGAACTGTGTTGTTCAGGAGGGTGGTTTGAATTTCTCTAGCTTGAGTTTTGGCTTAAAAAAAAAATGAGATTGGTGCTCTCTTGCCTTCCTCCATACATCTCAAATGACGGCAGCGAAAGTCACACAATCACAATAAATTTCCTCAAGTGTGAAAAAGGCAAAAATCCCCATAAAGTTTCCAGTGGAAACTTTTGAATGTAAAAGGGTCTGTCAGATCTTGGCGCTGAGGAGTAAAATGGAGATGGTGTTCAATGGTATTTATCAGATAGGGGAAAAAATGAAAAAGAAATATTCTGTAAAAAATAGAGCAGTCTAATGAAGGCTTCTCACCTTCTTGCTGTCAGGAGCATGACTTTTAGATGTGATTTGGAACAGGTTAAGCTATTTTTATTACCTGAAAACATCAAAGGGTGAAATATTGAAATTTTGATGGTGTTTATGCCCTCGTGCAGAAGTTTGACTCTGTCTTATCAATATTTGATGCTTCTCAATATAATACTTGAATTGTCTATGTTTTATTGCATGCATTGATTTCACAGATTTGTAATTAATTAAATGTGTGTGTCTCTCTAGGTTGGCCACATCCGTGCGGAGCGGGACATTCTGGTGGAGGCAGACAGTTTGTGGGTGGTGAAAATGTTCTATAGTTTTCAGGACAAGCTGAACCTCTACCTTATCATGGAGTTCCTGCCCGGAGGTAACTGCCTCAGATCAAAAGATTGCTTTTTTTTCCTTCTGTTTGTGGATTTCTAATTTCTTAATTGCAAGCGTAGTCTGGGACGAGAGTTTGTGGTGACCATAGAGTGAAGAGAAACCAGAGCACACAGGGTGCATCAAGAAGAGCTTGACCAGCAGGTGGAGGGAGGTCATCTTCTCTCTCTGCCCTGGGGAGGCCCCATCTGGAGCACTGGGACCAGTTCTGGGCTCCCCAGTTCCAGAAGGACAGGGAACTGCTGGAGAGGGGACAGCAGAGGGCTACAGAGATGCTGAAGGACCTGGAGCATCTCTTGTATGAGGAGAGGCTGAGGGACTTGGGGCTTTGTAGTCTGGAGAAGAGAAGGCTGAGGGGGGATCTGATCAACACCTATAAATTCTTCAAGGGTGGGTGTCAAAAGGATGGGACCAGTCTTTTTTCAGTGGTTCCCAGTGACAGGACAAGAGGAAATGGGCACAAACTGGAACACAGGAAGTTCCATCTAAACATGAGGAGGAACTTCTTGACTTTGAGGGTGGCAGAGCCCTGGCAGAGGCTGCCCAGGGAGGTGGTGGAGTCTCCTTCTCTGGAGACATTCAAACCCACCTGGACATGTTCCTGTGGGACCTGCTCTGGGTGGACCTGCTCTGGCAGGGGGGTGGACTGGATGATCTCTAGAGGTCCCTTCCAACCCCATATCATTTTGTGGTTCTGTGAGTGGTTGTCCTGGACATTACTTTGCTAGGAAAGAAGCCATCATAAAGCTTTCTGCTTCGAGGAGTTAGGGCATGGACATCTTTGGGTCAGGCTGGAGGTATCTTCCTGGGTCTTCTGGCTACAGGTGTTTGAAACTTGTCCTTAATCTTCTGCTAATTCTTATCCTTACTGTGTCCTGTAGAACCATAAACAGCTTTTGATTTTTTTAACCTTTTGCTTTTAGCTGCCTTGCAATTTTTAAGGTCCTTTCTTCAGAGGATGATGAAGTTCATCCTTGAATGATAATGCTACTGTCGTTGACCTAAGAAGAAAGTCACACTGAAAGCCTGTAATACATTTGACTAATGAAACCACAAGAACTCCTTCTGAGATGACGCTGCACAAACACAATCTGGTTTTTGTAACAGCTGTGGAGCTGAAAGTGTCTATTTTAGTCCGTGATTGAGCTGAAGAGCAGCAGCCCAGGGCTGGCTCTTGTTTAGGGGATGCTCCTGGAGTGTTATTTCATAGAATCATACAGTCGTCTAGGTTGGAAGAGACCCTTGGGATCATCGAGTCCAACCATCTCCCCTACTCTACAAAGTCCTCCCCTACACCATGTCCCTCAGCACTGCATCTAAACGGCCCTTAAACACAGCCAGGGATGGGGACTCCACCCCCTCCCTGGGCAGCCTGTTCCAAGGCCCGACCACTCTTTTGGTGAAAAATCCTTTCCTAATGTTCAATCTAAACCTCCCCTGTTGGAGCTTGAAGCCATTCCCTCTCGTTCTGTCACTAATTACCTGTGAGAAGAGACCAGCACCAACCTCTCTACAGTGTCCTTTCATGTAGTTGTAGAGAGTGATGAGGTCTCCCCTCAGCCTCCTCTTCCTCACACTAAACAGTCCCAACTCCCTCAGCCGCTCCTCATATGATTTGTTTTCCAGCCCCCTCACCAGCTTCGTTGCCCTAATTTCATCTCTGTCTAGGAGCCATCTCAGGAAGTTCAGTGCCGTCACAGGACGAGCCTTTCCATACAATGCTACAGGGGGAAATACCAGAGTGTGTCACGGAGCTGCTGGGGAACTGTATTAATTTATACAAAATCAATTTAGACTTCCCAAAGTTTTAAATATCTTAGTTCTTTTCCTTTGCAAACGTCTTCAAAATTAGCGAGAGTGGAGTTTGTGTGTTTGCTTGTATTGACCTGTGCTGGTTTTGGGGGGGTTCTAGGTGATATGATGACGCTGTTGATGAAAAAAGACACTCTGACGGAAGAAGAGACGCAGTTCTACATCGCTGAGACCGTGCTGGCCATCGACTCCATCCATCAGCTGGGTTTTATCCATCGGGACATAAAACCAGACAACCTTCTTCTGGACAGCAAGGTACCCACCAACCACCAGCTGGGGAGTAAATAGGCCTTGTCATTTGGAATATTGACTTGAACTAGTGTTGACAGTCATGAAGGAAGATGGTGCTTCTTCCTTAGTCCTGTTTCTTCTCGCTTTGGGGACATATCTGCTGCATTGCTGGGGGAAAAAAAACCACCCAAGCCAAGAAAGACCTCTCCTCCACCTCCAGCTGTGCTCATGTCTCGCTTCTGAGCTCTCTCCTGACAGTTGTTTAGGTTATTTTTGGTTATTTCAGCTGCGATTTAAAACATGCGGTTTCAGTTCTCCCCTTGGTCAAAGATGTTTCCTTTTGGTCTCGAGTCTGTTGGGCTCCCGTTGGCCAGCTCCTGGGTGGGTGATGGTGTGGGATGCCCAGGATGGAGCTGGTCCATGAGCGAGGCTGACGATGGAGGTGGCATCTCCCTCAGCATCAGGCTGTATTTCTCAAGGCCACCCCGTTCCTTCCAGGTGGTTACTGGAGGCACTTTGCAGAAAGCTTCCTTGTTTCGCTGTCCTCCTATTGCTCGCTAGAAGTTTGCTTAAAATTTAGCTTGTTTGGAAAAAAAGAAGTTTGCCAACAGTAAATAATTATACTTTACCAGCTAATTAGGTGCTGTGGGAATTGCTGCTGTAACTCAGTACCTCTCCATCTAGATGTAGAGAAATTCAGGGCTTTGAAAAGGATGTATATTTTTAGATATACACTTAAAAATTGCACCTTGTCGGTGTGGTTGCATGTTTGGGACTAGGACAGGTCCAATCCCTGAATTTAAGGTTTTTTTCCACATCTGTTGGTGTCGATGTTCAATCCAGGGACTCCAGCTCCCTTTGGAGACTTCGCTCTCGATCTGACGCCATCGGGAGCTCGCAGGAGCAGAGGCTTCTTGAAGGAAATAATTCCTGGGTTTTCTCTGTGTAGCAGGGATGGAAGCATTATCATAGAATCATAGAATGGTCTAGGTTGGAAGAGACCCTTGGGATCATCGAGTCCAACCATCTCCCCTACTCTACAAAGTCCTCCCCTACACCATGTCCCTCAGCACTGCATCTAAACGGCCCTTAAACACAGCCAGGGATGGGGACTCCACCCCCTCCCTCAATTTAGAACCATTATCCCTCATCCTATCACTATATTCCAGGATAAAGAGTCCCTCCCCATGTCTCCTGTAGGCCCCCTTTAGGTACTGGAGGGCTGCTATAAGGTCTCCCCGGAGCCTTCTCTTCTCGAGACTGAAAATAATATATATATATATATATATATATGCTTGGATACCTGTGTAGCTACTGAAAACTCTATGCAAACAAACAGCATCATAGGCTGGTGAAATTTTTTCTTTAATTATTGACATTACATTTCTATTTAATCATTTTTAAACTCAGAATAAGACGGTCGTAAGACTGATCATGATATTCAAAAGTGTTTAGTGTGGCCATATTCTGTTTTCACTCATAAAAATGGTAAAACTCCCACTGACTTCTTTGCTAGATGAATTATCATTGCCCTTTTAAAAATCCCTCACTTGATATTAACATCTAATTAATAAAGCTCTTATTTCACTGAGGTATAAATTTCATCCAGTTGCTACAGATGATACATTAAAACTATTAGAATGGACTCAACGTTTTTGAAATTTTCTCTAGATTGTTAAAAATTATGAAACTTCTCTAGATCATCTGCTGTTCTCCACAATGATTAAATATACCACTCTCTAGACATCTTTTTTTCCTTATAGATTTCCTTTATGATGGTTAGTCTTTTAACATTCTGCTATCAAAGGACACTGTGAGAAAGAGCTTGTGCTACTGTTTAACTTAGGAATGACATTGCTGCATGTTGCCTATTTTTCCTGCATTAATAGCTTGATAAGTATTAATTGCTTGATTTTATGTCTTAGACTAAAACAAGGAATGCAAAAAGAGTGCACTTATTTATTATACGAAAGAAAGGGAGGGGAAGAAGTAGAAAGCTTTACCCGCTATGATAATGTCTCATACTGGTTTTATATTTTGCTTTTTTATTTTTTATCTTTGAGATGATACATTAAAACTATTAGAATGGACTCAACGTTTTTGAAATTTTCTCTAGATTGTTAAAAATTATGAAACTTCTCTAGATCATCTGCTGTTCTCCACAATGATTAAATATACCACTCTCTAGACATCTTTTTTTCCTTATAGATTTCCTTTATGATGGTTAGTCTTTTAACATTCTGCTATCAAAGGACACTGTGAGAAAGAGCTTGTGCTACTGTTTAACTTAGGAATGACATTGCTGCATGTTGCCTATTTTTCCTGCATTAATAGCTTGATAAGTATTAATTGCTTGATTTTATGTCTTAGACTAAAACAAGGAATGCAAAAAGAGTGCACTTATTTATTATACGAAAGAAAGGGAGGGGAAGAAGTAGAAAGCTTTACCCACTGTGATAATGTCTCATACTGGTTTTATATTTTGCTTTTTTATTTTTTATCTTTGCTAGGGCCATGTTAAACTCTCTGATTTCGGGCTGTGCACCGGACTAAAGAAAGCTCACAGAACAGAATTTTATAGGAACCTGAACCACAGTCTTCCCAGTGACTTCAGTAAGTTACTCGGCTTCAGCAGGGTCTCTGCTGTCAGGACCTGAGAGAGCTCATTTCCCTGGGAGGTTGGAAGGCTCTAGAGGGGGGTTTAATGATCAACATCGCATCACGGGGTGTAATTTTGATTTTCTGTAGATATTATTGATAACAGTGAGCACCCGGTCTCTTGGAACAGTCATTTTCTCAATGGGAAAAACTTTGATGATGGAGTTAAACCACCACTGAAAGCATGGGTCACTAATGAAAGGGCTTTATCAAATTAAATTAATATTCCATAGGTTTGGAAGTTGCTGATAGGTTGAGGGTGTTGACAGATGTGCTCTTTGTGACCATCTGTGTCAATGGAAGAGGTTCCATCCCTCACTTTGTCACCTGCCACCGGGGACACCCCTCAGACTGGGCTAGGTCAGCTGGGCAAGGCCAGGCTGTGCCAGGTTCAATTAGTTTGTCTTTGCTGATGAGACTTGTCCTTAATGAGATGGATTGAGGTGGGCTTCCATAAACAGCTCCAGCTTCACCATGGGGGACAACTTTAGCTGTAGGAACCAGTGAGGAGCTCCTGGGGACTGGATCCTCTTCCCAGCACAGCTGAACACAAAATGGGCTGTTTGGCCATGGCTACCTTTTTGGAGGTCATAAAGATTTTTATTGTCATGGTTTTGGGGTAAAAAATGTACATTGGGTGACCAGTCACATATATCCCAATCTCCTTCAGCTTTCCAGAACATGAATTCCAAAAGGAAAGCAGAGACATGGAAGAGAAATAGACGGCAGTTGGTAAGAATGTTTTACCTGCTTGGAAATGTTCCCTGCTGAGCTGGTGAATTCCAATGTATTTCAATGATGGGCATTAAGCCATTTCAGAGCTCTGACCAATGCTGAAATAAAAAAAGATGAATGCTTTTTCTTTTAAAAAGAGGAATGACTCTAGTTTGTCCTTCATCCATCTGCTGAACAGCTGGTGACACATGGGCCTGAGATAGAGCTGCCATAATTATTTACATTAATATCTGATGCCTCCCAGCTAAAAGTAGCAGCTCTTGCCACTTCTGATATAATAAAGGGCTAAAGACCCGTTTCCAAGGTGTATGTAGACAGTGGTACATAAATGGGCTGTTTGGCCATGGCTACCTTTTTTGAGGTAGTTAAGATTTTTATTGTCATGGTTTGGGGGTAAAAAATGTACGTTGGGTGACCAGGAGGACACAGTCACATATATCCCAATCTCCTTCAGCTTTCCAGAACATGAATTCCAAAAGGAAAGCAGAGACATGGAAGAGAAATAGACGGCAGTTGGTAAGAATGTTTTACCTGCTTGGAAATGTTCCCTGCTGAGCTGGTGAATTCCAATGTATTTAAATGATGGGCATTAAGCCATTTCAGAGCTCTGACCAATGCTGAAATAAAAAAAGATGAATGTTTTTTCTTTTAAAAAGAGGAATGACTCTAGTTTGTCCTTCATCCATCTGCTGAACAGCTGGTGACACATGGGCCTGAGATAGAGCTGCCATAATTATTTACATTAATATCTGATGCCTCCCAGCTAAAAGTAGCAGCTCTTGCCACTTCTGATATAATAAAGGGCTAAAGACCCGTTTCCAAGGTGTATGTAGACAGTGGTACATTTTTCCTGTTTCTCTGACTGTATTTTAAGACTCTTCCACATGAACGTGTTGATTTTTGGCTCTCCATATCTTGAAATAAAGGCTTTAAATAACTTCACTAAAGCATCTTAGAGACAATCTGGTGTCTTCCTCAAAATAACCGTTGTTGCCTAAGTTCCTGCTTCCATATCAGGCACTTTTCTGTAAAAATGTGTAACTGATGGTATTTGTTGCAGGCTTTTTCCACCGTGGGCACTCCGGATTACATCGCCCCCGAGGTTTTCATGCAGACTGGCTACAACAAGCTCTGTGACTGGTGGTCCCTTGGGGTCATCATGTACGAGATGCTGATCGGTAAGAAAGGGGCAGGAATTGGGCTGTAGGACATCAGCTGGGTTCATGTTCTCAGGGCCAGGCTCTCAAACACCCCTTCCTTGCCTGGGCTGTGAGGTTTTGAGTTCTGCTGCACTGTAGACTTGAGGAACTATTTTTTGCTTTCTACAAGATTCTGTTTTTCTTTCTTTTCAGGTTATCCCCCGTTCTGTTCTGAAACTCCTCAAGAAACGTATAAGAAAGTTATGAATTGGAAAGAGACTCTCACATTTCCTCCAGAAGTTCCAATATCTGATAAAGCGAAGGATCTTATTTTAAGGTGCTGACCAGTTAATACAGTACTGATTTTCTTGTCTTGCAAACTCTACCATGGACCTCTCATAGGCTGATTCACATGGAAAAAGCCCTGATGCTGGTGACCACTCCACACTCTGTTGTGTACGTGCATCAAATGCTGAGCTCCTGTGTCAAATA